CCCCCCCCCCCCCCCCATGTTTGCTGACATTCAATAAATAAGCACTGAAATACCGTATATTTTTGCTGAGTGGCACATGCGTTTGTCCTGATCTGGATGCAGGGACTGACCAGGAGTCTGCTTGGTGCAAAGCAGAAATTACGTACAGTGATTTTCCAGCACATTCCAGGTCTTTGCGAAGAACAATCTGTTATCCTCAAGGCAACCTGCTGTGGATGATGGTGGTGGTGGTGGTGAAGGAAGATTCCATTCTATCCTAAGGGACGTGAGGACAGAAGGCCTTGGATGGAGCATTTTTGGTAGTGATGTCGTGATTCCTGGTCGGGGGCAAACTCTCCTCAAGAAATTGTTGGAGAATTTCTCCATCTCCTGGAGCATTTTGGTGAAATCATCCAACTAATTTCTTTGTCTTCAGGGTTGGTGGGAAATTTCAGGAAAGCATTTAGTCCCAGCTTCAGTTCTGCCCCAAGGTCCTGATGTCTTCAAAGGGTGCCAGGTTTAGGGATTGTTACAGGAAAAAAAATCTGAATTAATAGCTTGCCATGGTTCCCACAGCTGAGAAGGGGACATTTTGCTTCAGACAAGAAAACTGGGGGCCTGATTCTTGGGATTCTGACCATGTGTGACACGTGGCAGGAGGAAGTAATCTGTTTGCTTCTCTGTCATTCATGGTACTGTAACTTCTTTCTTGTGCCAAATTTGCACGGTCACTAGCACTGACAATTTTAGAGTAGGCTTCTCTATTAACCTCATGTTTTGCTCTACAATTTGAAATGAAGGACCAATCCAAATGTTAGCAAGTCTTTTCCCAGATAGAGCCAAGCAGAATAATTCAGTTCCTGTGGGCCTTTTGGTGCAAGGTCTAGTAAGAATCCTTTGCTAGCTCCGTTAAGAAAAGATGTCCTTTCTATTTTGGGTGTGAAATAACTCCTGATCCATTCTGGAGAAGTGGATTTGAGCATTTTGCTTCCACTAGATTTCAGCAGAAAAGTCCACTTAAAACAGCACCAACACCTATATGCTAGGGAAAGTGGATTTAAAAGAGATTAATTGGGGGAATTTGCATTTTAAATGCCTATGGAGGGTGCTTTTTGGTTATAATATTCTTGGGCAATTTGCATTGTTACATAAATTAGGGAGAGATGCTCAGAAGGTGTTTCCGGGTTCTGGAACTTAAAAAAAAAAAAAAATCAGAGAAGGGAAAAAAAACAGGCCAAAAACTGCCGCATTCTTTTGTAATTCTGCATCTGGACTTCTTTCCTTTACAAAGACTTAGAAGAGATCTCTTTCTGTGTTCACACTGAGACAGCAAGTAATTGGCACCATGCTTTTTCTACAAATGCATGCCAGGCAGCAATGTATTGTCTTTTCAAACGAGCATGCTCCATTAGGCATCACCAAATCCCATGTTGCAAATTGGATTCCACCACACTGATGCATTCTTGGTTTTCCTACCAACTGATGTTACATCATGAAGAGGTAGATGCTCTCCTGACTTTGTGTATGTCTGATTGGCAGAGTCTGCCCTGTTCATACATAAGAATTCGCCTGCCTGCTAGGCCTGTCTCCCTGAGTGCATTGAGTGCAACACGCTAAGCACACACCCCTCTTCACTTCGCTGAACCCTTGGGAATCAGCGCACAGCAAACATCATGGTCCTTATTCCTGCCGTTCTCAGACTTGAGATAACAGTCGCTAAGACTCAACAAAGTCAAGGCAACGTAAGAGCACTTGTGACAAATAGCTAAATAAAATAAAACCACTTCCTGAACAGGAAAGGCAGGTCAATCTGAGCAGTGGGAAGCAAGGCCAGTGGGGCCAACATGCTCAGAATGGCTTCAGAGGCATCCAGAGGGGGGAGGTCAAAAAAGTCAAGATGGTACCCACAGCCACAAAATTGAAGCCTTGCCTCCTTTTCACGTGGGCTGCAACACAATTAAAAAGAGAGTGGGGAGTTGGTTGCATGGTTGCAGTACATCTTCCTTCTTTTTTTACCATGCCCGCTCCATACTTGAATAGGTCCAAGGGTTCCCATGTCTGCAGGGAGGTCAAAAAAGTCAAGATGGCAGCCACAATTGCACTGTCAAAACCTTGCCTTTTAAAGTTGGTAAAAGAGTTGGGGCTTCAATTGCACACAGTCCCCATCTTGACCTTTTTTAAAAGAAAAAACCTCCTGCCTGTCTCCCAACCAGAAGGTAAACCTTGGAAGTGAATAGCTGTAGCAACAGGCAATCCTCTTCTTATTCAAAAAGATACTTCTCTGTCACTACAATAAGATGGAATGAAGTTTAGGTAACCTTGGGTCCTCTCCAACATCCACAGCGGGCCAGCGTGAAAGGCTTGGAGCTGAGCCGGCCAAGAAGGAAGAAGATACGGCTCTCAAACGCAGCACAGAAGCGAATTACAGAGACGTGACTTGTAATTTCCCACTTGGTGACTCATCTTCCCATTTCTAGTTAGTTCTCAGCAGAACCTTTGGCTCATCCTGTCTGATCTGGAATTACTGCACACGTAAGAGTAGCAGTGAAGAAGTTGGGTTAAGGGAGGGGAGATCCGGGTTCAAGTCCTCGTTCAGCCACAGAAGCTCGGGGGGGGGCAGGGATCTGGCCAGTTTTTCCTTCTCAGCCCCACAGCCAGCATGGGGCGTTGGTTAAGGGGCTGGACTAGGAGCAGGGAGACCTGGGTTCCAGTCCTCCCTTAGGCAAAGTTGCTCTCTTAGCCCTGGGCTGGGAAATTGAAGAACACGTATCTACAGGTAGTCCTCAGTTTAAGGACAAGTTCCGTTCCCAAGGTCTGTCCTTAAGTTGAATTTGTATGTAAACCAGAACCTTATTATTGTGTAATACTGTATAAGTAGTATTGTGTATTTAACTTGAATCATTGTGTATTGAACTTGAATTTTGCTACAATAGGCTCTGTTCTTAACTATGGGTTGTCCTTAAACCAGGCATTCTTAACCTGGGGACTACCTACTAATCTATTCTGGACCAGCATGGTAGATTATAACCTTCAATGAAGAGGACTTTATCCCACCCTGGCTTGATTTGGGATCATATTAACAACAACAATAATAATATACATACATATATATATATTGTGCACACACACACATATATACAAACACACCCATATGTTTTAAAATTTGTATTTATAAACAGTACAATTAACTGAAGCATATATACACAAAAAAGAAGAAAGCCATACAGAAGTAAATGAAACACCAGAAACATAATGACTCTTTTGTTCCATGTCAGCATGTTCAAAGAGCTCCCTTTCGTGTGTTGGACTTTTTTTTAAAATGCATTTTAGAAGGATAAGTTTGGATCGGTGTTGGTTTGTTCACAAATTTATATTCATGAGCACAAAATATGAAGTAGGTATTTACAGAAGCACCTACATTGCACGTATCTAAAAAGGGCAGGGCTTTGATTACAGTTATGAACACTGTATTACAGTGTTTGTCAACCTTGGCAAAATTTAAGATGGGTGGACTTCAACTCCCAGAATTCCCCAGCCAGCCATGCTGGCTGGGGAATTCTGGGATTTGTAGTCCACCCATCTTAAAGTTGCCAAGGTTCACAAACACTGCTATAGACTGTCCTCTTGGCTTGATCACACCCACAATCATCTTCTCCAATTATGAATGAAGTACCCAAAATGCATCAAAGGAGGGACCTTCCGTCTCCCAATTCAGCAGCAACATTTGGAAAGTCCATCCTGAATCCTAGCTGCCACCTTATTTATCAATGACCTCAGGTTTGGTTAAGTTAATAATACTGTCTCATTTAAGAGAGAAAGGCTAGTTGCCAGCCAATTCATGTGGAAAGAATCTGTTGCTCTGTTGAAGCGAGTCAACATTGTCAAAAAAGAGGGATTTCAAGAGTTACAGTTGAAACACATATCTGCATGTAAAACTTTATTGCAATGAAATCCCTTAAGTAAACCCTGTTCAAATGCCATGAGGTACGTACAGGCCACTTCTCCAACCTGGGGTCCTCTGAATCTCTTGGGCATGTTAACTGGGGAACTGTGGGAGATCCAAACATCTAGAAGACACCCAACAGGTAAGGATGGCGATTTCCCATGCACACAGCTTGGTGAGGAAGAACTAAAAGAGAAGCTGAGAAGCAGCTTTAGATAAGCAAGGTATATCTCCTCTTCAGACATGACTAAGAGAACATCCAGCGTACTGTAAACTGATCATAGTAACCACTGATG